CCTGACCTAGGGTGGATTTTACATTGGGTTTTAAATATTCGGAAGACGCAACATTAAAATTCGGTTTAATTCGGTTTTAAGGGGGGGATTGTATATATGTTCTGGTTTTAAATATGTTGTGCGCCGCCCTGAGTCCCTGTCGGGAGAAGGGCGGCATATAAATTAAATAAAATAAATAAATAAATAAATAAATATAGATGAATTTATTATAGTCGGTCAAGTAAGGATACAGCTTAGCACTAATTATTGTAATAATGTTTTGCTAACGAGAAAATGACTGTTTTTCTGGGGTATAGATTTTAAGATGTCTGGTAATATTCTGAGATAGCTTTTAGACATTTACATGATGTTTAATGAAGCCAGCTGGGTGACTTTGAGCCAGTTAACTGTCTCTCAACCCAATTCACCTCACTGGCCTATTATGGGGAAAATAGGAGAAAGGGATGTCATTTATCAAAATAATAAAAGCAGGACATAAATGGATAAAACAAAAATAAAATAATATGTAATGTATGTAAACAGACAGTATCCTCCTTTTGGGTGGTTTTGCTTTTAATGTGTTTCTTGCGTATTTTTCCTATTTCTTTTCTGTTAAACTTGTTAAGGTAAAATATAAAAAAAAGAATGTCCTGTACAAGTTACAAACACTTTTTTCCCCCCACCTGTTTCTTTGTTTTGAACCCAGCAGTGAGGGAAATGTCTCTCTATGACGACCTGGGAGTAGAAACCAGTGATTCCAAAACAGAAGGCTGGTCCAAAAATTTCAAACTCCTGCAGTCTCAGCTGCAAGTGAAAAAAGCCGCGCTGACTCAAGCAAAGGTACAGTAAAAAAATATGCAGGAAAATGCTTTTTTGGGTTTTGTTTTAATTGTCAACTGTCCAGGGAGCACCCACTGCTAAGTACAGTGCTTCATTTAGCAAATAGGTTTGATTAAGGCACCAAGCTGGAAAGCTGAAAACGGTGAGTTCTAGCCCCGCTTTAGGCATAAAAACCAACTGGGTGACTTTGGGCCGGTCACCAGGAGACGGTGAGTTCTAGCCTCACCTAAGGCATAAAAACCAACTGGGTGACTTTGAGCCAGTCACCAGGAGATGGTGAGTTCTAGCCCCACCTAAGGCATAAAAACCAACTGGGTGACTTTGAGCCAGTCACCAGGAGACGGTGAGTTCTAGTCTCACCTTAGGCATAAAAACCAACTGGGTGACTTTGGGCCAGTCACCAGGAGACGGTGAGTTCTAGTCTCACCTTAGGCATGAAAGCTGGCTGGGTGACTTTGGGCCAATCACCAGGAGATGGTGAGTTCTAGTCTCACCTTAGGCATGAAAGGCGGCTGGGTGACTTTGGGCCAATCACCAGGAGACGGTGAGTTCTAGTCTCACCTTAGGCATGAAAGCCGGCTGGGTGACTTTGGGCCAGTCACCAGGAGACGGTGAGTTCTAGTCTGAAAGACAGCTGGGTGACTTTGGGCCACTAGCTCTCTCTCAGCCCGACCCACCTCGCAGGGTTGTGGTGGGGAGATTAGGAGGAGGAAGACGTGTTGGATATGTTCGCTGCCTTGAGATATTTATAAAAATAACAAAGGTGGGAGACAGATTAAATTTTAAAAAATGCTTCTCACAGATGTTCCCTCCAATACTGATCGATAAAAAATATGCTTCCCAGGATTTCTGGAACGCCCTTAAGCTCTAGCTACACACATAGGCCTCTAGCTATACACATTTATGACCATAATATTGCTTGTCCGTTACAGTTATAAAGCAGGTCACCCATGTGGACCGACCCAATTATATACACTTTTTTGCAATAGCTGTTAAGTGAGCTCATTGTTTGCTCTGTGGTGTTTTTGCAGAAAACCAGTAGTAGTAGTAGTAATAGTAATAGTAATAATAATAATAATAATAATAATAATAATAATAATAATAATATTATAATAATAATAATAATAATAATAATAATAATAATAATAATAATAATAATAATAATAATAATAAAGTTGGAAAGACCTTGGAGGTCATCTAGTCCAACCCCCTGCTCAGGCAGGAAACCCTATACCATTTCAGACAAATGGCTGTCCAGTCTCCTCTTTAAAACTTCCAGTGTTGGAGCATTCACCACTTCTGGAGGCAGGTTGTTCCACTGGTTAATTGTTCTCACTGTCAGGAAGTTTCTCCTTAGTTCTAGGTTGCTTCTCTCCTTGCTTAGTTTCCCTCCGTTGCTTCTTGTCCTGCCTTCAGGCACTTTGGAGAATAGCTTGACTCCCTCTTCTTTGGGGCAGCCCCTGAGATATTGGAACACTGCTATCATGTCCCCCCTCGTCCTTCTCTTCGTTAAACTAGACATACCAATTCCAGCAATTGTTCCTTATATGTTTTAGCCTCCAATCCCCTGATTATCTTTGTTGCTCTTCTCTGTACTCTTTCTAGAGTCTCAGCATCTTTTTTACATCGTGGTGACCAAAACTGGATGCCGTATTCCAAGTGTGGCCTTACCAAGTCCTTGTAAAGTGGTATTAATACTTCCCGTGATCTTGATTCTATCCCTCTGTTAATGCAGCCCAGCACTGAGCTGGCTTTTTTGGCAGCTGCAGCACACTGATTTTAGACAAAAAAACATAAACCGAGGTCATGCAACTGCAGAACATAGCAAATGGCCATACATTTGCCACGTGCCTAAAAGGAGGTGAAATGATTGTGGGTGGAGGCGGCCTTGGAACTTCAGAACCGGATCATAAATCCCTTTTAGGAGACCCATCAGAGCTGTTAATGGTCACCAAGCAACTGTCGTAAGTCAAGGACTACCTATATTCACATAGGCTTTTTCATTATTTGCATAATTTAAAGCAGCCATTGCGGCTTCAGAGGCATTCTAAACTTGTCAATCGGAATAGAACTGGAAGGGACCTTGGAGGTCTTCTAGTCCAACCCCCCTGCTCCAGCAGGAGACCCTATATACCATTTCAGACAAGTGGCTGTCCAGTCTCTTCTTAAAGGTCTCCAGTGATGAAGCATCCACAACTTCTGAAGGCAAGTTGTTCTCACTGTTGGGAAGTTTCTCCTTAATTCCAGGTTGCATCTCTCCTTGATTAGTTTCCATCTATTGTTTCTTGTCCTGCTTTTTGGTGCTTTGGAAAATAAGTTGACCCCCCCCCCTTTTCTTTGTGGCAGCCCCTCAAATACTGGAATACTCAAATATCACGTCACCCCCAGTCCTTCTGTTCTCTAGGCTAGCCATACACATCTCCTGCAACTGTTCTTCATGTGTTTAGGTCTTCAGGCTTTTAATCGTGTTAGTTCTCTGCACTTTTTCCAAAGTCTAACCCAGGGGTAGTCAACCTTGGCTCTTTTATGACTGGTGGACTTCAATTCCCAGAATTCCTGAGCCAGTTTAGCTGGCTCAGGAATTATGGGAGTTGAAGTCCACGAGTCATAAAAGAGCCAAGGTTGACTACCCCTGGTCTAACCTCTGTGACAAAACCTCATTCTGCAATAGTTCTAACACTGATTCTGTAAGTGCATTTTTTTTTGTATTACATGTGTTGAAATAAGTATGCCCGGCCACTGGTATATAACCCAGATGGAGTATTGGATTTTTAAAAATAAACCTAGAGCGTTATCTTTCAGAAGCTAACGTGTTTGCTCCTTTCTCAGCCCTCATAGCTAAGTGGAATCTCTTGCATCAGCCCTTAGTTCTCCATAGCCTGTGAATTATATGTGCATTATAATTATAATGATAACATTATTACAACATCTTGGGGGAGAAACCCTGCACTGCAGTTGCCAGATTTCATCGGCTTCACTTAACCTCCATTATTTGAAAGACAATCTTGAGAAGCACAAGGTCATTTTTGTAGCATCCACATCATGGAAAATGTTAAAACGTATTTTCATATTGTTTTCCATCTGTATAAGAATGCTGGGATTGGTTGTTTTTTTTTAATTAAAAAATGATGGAATAAAAAATATCAAAAGTTCTCCATTGGAGGAGTTTTCCCCAAGAATTCCAGTCTATTCTAATTCTCATAGAGGTTTGTGAGGGTATTTTTAAAAATGGACAGCCATTTTGTGTAAACTTTGCACTCTCTGTGATAGGTTTAATTGCATTTGTTCATAGATCTAAACAAAATATGTTGTAGATGGAACAAGGTTTCACTTACCTATGGGGAAGTGATGGTTAAATCAGATACTTAAGAGATTATCTTGTCATATTGAAATGTACACGGCAATTTGTGTTATACTGATGTATCTTTAAATTAAAATATATTGATAATACTTTTGCAATGAAGTCTTTAAGTATCATTGAGAATGTATGCAATTAAATATACCTGCTTTAATCAAATGGCCTTTTTTCTGGTGAACTTTGCTTCAAAACATGCATCATCTTGACGTTTCAATAGTAGAGCCTTTGGACTACATTTCCCATCTCTAATGTCTGGACCAAATGGGAAGGATAGGAATTGTAGCTGAAGTCTTCTGTTTATTTATCAGTTAAATTTATTTGCCGCTGCCCTGTATAATTCGGATGGTGATGAGAAGAACAAACACGCAGGTCAGGGAATGAAATTCTTGAAGCTGTGCGAAATGCGTATTTTGATTTTTTGGTATTTCATTTTAGACTCAGAGGTCAAAACAAAGCACAGTCCTTGCTCCTGTAATTGATCTGAAACGAGGCAGTGCTTCTGATGAGCGTCAGATCGTAGACACCCCACCCCATGTGGCAGCTGGCTTGAAGGTAAGATGGGGGCTTATAAAATGGACCAGCAGTATCCTGATCAAGAGCCCGTCAGCCCTTGGAGGGCAGCCTTCCTTTGGAGCAAAATGCCTCCCCTCACGACCAGCTAGAGCAGTGTTTCTCAATCTTGGCAACTTCTAGGTGGGTGGACTTCAACNAAGGTTGAGAAACACTGAGACAGACCGGGCGGGCAGATGGGCGGGCAGGTAGGCAGACATGGATGGATGGATAAAGAGATAGGTAGGTAGAGAGATGGAGAGATGATAGAGATAATATAGAGATAATAAGAAAGAGAGAGATGATATAGAGAGGATAGAGATTAGAGAGACAGACATGGATGGATGGATAAGTAGATAGGTAGGTAGGTAGACATGGATGGATGGATGGATGGATAAGAAGATAGACACGATGGATAGATGGATGAGATGGGTAGGTAGGTAGGTAGGTAGACAGACATGGATGGAGGGAGGGAGGGACAGACAGACACACAGGGATGGATGGATGGGGAGATGGGTAGGTAGGTAGGTAGACAGGGATGGATGGATGGAGAGAGAGAGAGAGAGAGATTAGATAGATGGATGGATAGATGGATAGATGGATGGATGGATAGAATAGATGATAGATAGATAGATAGATAGATAGATAGATAGATAGATAGATTAGATAGATTAGATAGATTAGATAGATAGATTAGATAGATATGGGTACCTTGAAATGAGTCCAGAAAAATAAACATGTACTGTAAATGCCATGAAGATGAAGAACTGTCTTCACATAAACAGGACTATTATAAAATAAAATGGTTAGTTTGAACCAGACAGTTCTGACTCTGGTACACAGCTAGCTCATTTTCAGACTTTCTCTGCAGATCAGTTGCAGAACCATTTCCATCTTCTTCTGGCAAATATACACGGAGCGCCTCCTTTTTTTTCTTTTTCCAAGAATTGCCTTGGATTACTTTTTGTTGTCGTGTCTTCCGCGTTATACCTCCCAGGACCCCGTCCCCAGCGGCTTTTCGGCAGGAGATGTGTTGATCCCTTTAGCGGATGAGTACGATCCGATGTTCCCAAACGACTACGAGAAAGTCGTCAAACGCCAGCGAGAAGAACGGCAAAGGCAACGGGAGCTGGAGAGGCAGAAGGAGATTGAAGAAAGGGAGAAGTGAGTAATCGGCATTGCAGGTCGTCAGTTTCGGGGTTAAGGTTTTCGTTGCCGTTTTGACTGCGCCGAAATCCTTACCTGCTTATTTTCTGTTTCCATTTCAAGGAGGCGCAAAGACAGACACGAGGCAAGTGGATTTTCCAGACGGCCAGATCCGGATTCCGATGAAGATGAAGATTATGAAAGAGAGAGGCGGAAACGAAGTGAGAAACTGTTTAGTCACCAAACCATATGCATGAATCAAACCTCTTGTCTCACTTAATCTATGGGCCACGTTCTGGCTGAGAAGCCCAAGGAAGCAAAACACCAGAGACATGGTGATCTCTAATGTAAACTGAATAGAAGAATAGAATGGAATGGAATGGAATAGAATAGAATAGAATAGAAAAAATGGAATAGAATAGAATAGAGAATAGAATAGAATAGAAAAAATGGAATAGAATAGAATAGAAAAAATGGAATAGAATAGAATAGAAGAATAGAATAGATAGAATAGAATAGAGAATAGAATAGAATAAAATAGAATAGAAAATATGGAATGGAATAGAATAGAGAATAGAATAGAATAGAAAAAATGGAATAGAATAAAATAGAATAGAAAATATGGAATGGAATAGAATAGAATAGAGAATAGAATAGAAAAAATGGAATAGAATAGAATAGAAATATAGAATAGAATAGAATAGAATAGAATAGAATAGAAAATATGGAATGGAATAGAATATAGAATAGAAAAATAGAATAGAATAGAAAATATGGAATAGAATAGAATAGAGAATAAAATAGAATAGAAAAAATGGAATAGAATAGAATAGAAAATATGGAATAGAATAGAGAATAGAATAGAATAGAAAAAATGGAATAGAATAAAATAGAATAGAAAATATGGAATGGAATAGAATAGAGAATAGAATAGAAAAAATAGAATAGAATAAAATAAAATAGAATAGAAAATATGGAATAGAATAGAAAAAATGGAATAGAATAGAATAGAAAAAAATGGAATGGAACAAAACAGAACAGAACAGAGAATAGGATAGGACAGAGAATAGAATAGAATTCTTTATAGTATTGGCTTTCATAGATTTTTTTTTCTTCTTCTTATGCAGGTATGGGAGGAGCTGCCATTGCACCACCTACTTCTCTGGTTGAGAAGGACAAAGAACGTAGGCACCTTAATTTTTCTTTAAATTACAGTTAGTCCTTGTCTTAACAACCATATCCCCGCAGAGCCCTCTCAGGGTGAAATGGGCAGCAAACAAATCTAATTAAACAAATAAATGGACCCCCGGAATTTCCATCGTAAATCATGATGGCTGTAAGCGAAGCACGTAAGTCAGGGGTCCCCAACCCCCCAGGCCATGGACCGGTACCGGGCCGTGACATGCCAGCAACCGATCCGCACAAACAAGCAAAGCCCCACGTGTGGAATGCAGGCAGCACACAAAACCACGCACCCTTCACAAGGTTGCCTACCCCTTCACAAGGTTGCCTACCCCTGTCCTAAGTCGTCCTGTTCTAAGCGGTCAGCCTCCTAGACCAGGAGTAGGCAACCTTGGCTCTTTTATGACTCGTGGACTTCAACTCCCAGAATTCCTGAGCCAGCATGGCTCAGCTTGGAAACCTCTCCCTTTCCCCTCAGCATGGCTGGCTCAGGAATTCTGGGAGTTGAAGTCCACCAGTCATAAAAGAGCCCAGGTTGCCTACCCCTGGCCTAGGAATCCAGGCTTATGGATTTTTGCCCTGATGGTTAAAAATGTCCTGTCTTCTTTCCCGCAGCTGTATCCTCATTCCCCTACGAGGAAGAGCCGAGGCCTCGTGGTTCATCGTCCAAGGCCGCCATTCCTCCCCCGATGTACGATGAGCCCGAGAGGCCTCGATCCCCAACCGGGCCCAGCAATTCCTTCCTTGCGAACATGGGGTGAGCGCTGTGGAGACTTCCCGCAAAAGGCCACTGGGGGGCAGTAGCGAAAAGCGTTAGGAATTGAGACTATTTTGTTTTGTTTATTTCTTATAAAGGTTTTCTTGGTTTTCTAATTTTTACATTGAAGTATTCAAAAAGCAACGTGGCGGTCATCTAGTCCAACCCCCTGCTCAGGCAGGAAGCCCTATACCAGTGATGGCGAACCTTTTTAGAGACCCAGTGCCCAAACTGCAACCCCAAAACCACTTATTTATCGCAAAGTGCCAACATGGCAATTTAATCTGAATACTGAGGTTTTAGTTTAGAAAAAAAAAAAACTGATACATTAACATCTTTTGTCTTAAAAGAAAAACACAATAACAAAGCTTTCAATGATACAAACAACTTTTTACTGAAAGGTAAAAGTTTGCATTTGGCATGCTTTTGAACAATTAATGTGACTTTTGCGGTTGTATGCATGCTGATAAATTTGTCTAACCTTGGCTTATACTTTGTAAGTTTGAGAGCAACACATGCAGCACTCAGATCCTCTGTTAGTCTGTTTCTGGTGTCAGATTTGATATAATTCAAAGCTGAAAAGAGCGCGCTCGCTCCGGAGGCTTGTTTTGGCTAGGAAGGGGCTTGAGAAATGTGAAAACTTAGCCAAAGAGCAAGGCACGCGTGCCCACAGAGAGGGCTCCGAGTGCCCCCTCTGGCACGCGTACCATAGGTTCGCCACCACTGCCCTATACCATTTCAGACAAATGGCTGTCCAGTCTCTTCTTAAAAACTTCCAGTGTTGGAGCATTCACAGCTTCTGGAGGCAGGTTGTTCCACTGGTTAATTGTTCTCACTGTCAGGAAGTTTCTCCTTAGTTCTAGGTTGCTTCTCTCCTTGCTTAGTTTCCATCCACTAAATGAACTTTTGTAAGTCGAGGACTACCTGCAATTTAGGGAGCCGTCTAACATTGCCGACCTGGCTTGATTTCCCACACCTGATGGCCCAGCTCATTCTCCCTTCTGTCTTCAGAGGCACGGTGGCTCACAAGATCATGCAGAAATACGGCTTCAGAGAAGGTCAAGGCCTGGGGAAGCACGAACAGGGTTTGAGCACCGCCCTGTCGGTAGAGAAAACCAGCAAGCGGGGTGGCAAAATCATTATTGGAGATGCTGCTGATAAAGGTAAGTTAGGGGGGCCTATGGGGTGAAGGGAGGTGGTGTCCAAGGTGACTTTCTACTACAATGTCTGCACGTGCCATTGTAAGGTAGTTGCTGTAGGGATTAAATGCAGAGGGCTGACCAGTCTTGGAATGGAATGGAACGGAACAGAACAGAACAGAACAGAACAGAACAGAATAGAATTAGAAAGAATAGAATAGAATAGAATAGAATAGAATAGAAAATATGGAATGGAATAGAATAGAATAGAATAGAATAGAATAGAAAATATGGAGTTGAATAGAAAGGAATGGAATAAATAGGACAGGAATGGAATAGAATAGAAAACATGGAATGGAATGAATAGAATGGAACAGGAATGAATAGAATAGAATAGAATAGAATAGAATAGAATAGAATAGACCAGTGGTGGTGAACCTATGGCACGGGTGCCAGAGGCGGCACTCAGAGCCCTCTCTGTGGGCATGCATACCGTCGCCCCAGTCCTAGGCCTTCAGCTGGATTTTATAAAACCTTTTCGCTTTAGGCCTCCGCTGCCATGTGCAAAAAAAAAGAGGTTCAATCAATGAGTCAATTTCAACTTCTCGTGGGGGAAAAAAAAAGATCTTGCAAAGTTGGAATTGATTGATTGAACTTTTTAATCCCACCCAGTCTGCCGTTACCACCACAGCCACGCCCAGCCAATGGGCCACACCCACCCAATGGGCCACACCCACCCAATGGGCCATGCCCACCCGGCACCCGACAATGCATAAGTGGGTTTGGGGTTGCAGTTTGGGCACTAGGTCTCTAAAAGGTTCGCCATCACTGGAATAGAATAAATGGAACGGAACAGAATAGAATAAAATAGAATACAGAATGGAATAGAATACGGAATAGAATAGAATAGAATAAAATAGAATAGAATAGAATAGAAAATATGGAATGGAATAGAAAGGAATGGAATAAATAGGATAAGACAGGAATAGAATAGAATAGAATAGAAAATATGGAATGGAATAGAAAGGAATGAATAGAATGGAACAGGAATAGAATAGAACAGAACATAATAGAATAGAATAAAAAGACAAGAGTTGGAAGGGACCTTAGTGGTCTTATCGTCCAACCCCCTGCTTAGGCAGGAAAGCCTATACCATTTCATTTAATCATTAAAGTCTCGCATCACTTTGCTTTGATCAGTCTTAAATTCGGTTCATCTCCACTTATAACCAATTTAAGCAAGCCTGCTGGCCAAGGAATTCTGGGAGTCGAAGTCCATACATGGTAAAATCCCTAAGGCTGATAAACACCGATCTAAGATGAGATTGTTAAGTAATACTGCATTTAAAGTGAAACGGTTACACTTTTTTTCCCCCCCTCTTTGGAATAGCAGATGCATCGAAGAAATCGGATTCAAATCCTTTAACAGAGATACTGAAATGTCCCACCAAAGTTGTCTTATTGCGGGTAAGTTTCCCCTGTTTTGATTCATCCGCCATCCTGAATTGGTGATTTTTTTTTAAGTTTTGGGTTGGCACAAGTAGTCCTCAATTTAGGATCACAACGGAACCCAATCTTTCCGTTGCTAAGTGAGGCCGTGAATTTCGCCTCATTTTACGACCTTTGTTGGCACAAGTTATTAAGTGAATCACTGCAGTTGCTATTAACACGGTCGTTAAGCGAATTCCCCATTGACTGTGCGTGTCAGGTCACAAAAGGGGTGATCACGTGACCCCGGGACACTGCGACCGTCATAAATAGGAGCCAGTTGCCAAGCGTCTGAATTTTGACGACGTGACCAGGGGGATGGCTGCAAAGGTTGTAACTGTGAAAAACGGTCGTTAAAAGTCCCGTTTTTCAATGCTGTTGTAACTTCAAACGGTCACTAAACAAACTGCTGTTAACTCGAGGGCCGCCTGTATTAAGGCTGGCTTTTAAATTCCGATTAGTTGGAGGAAGTGACATTAAAATGATCAGAAAGACATGACGGCGGATATTCCCTGACAGGAAATATGTATTTATTCTCAGAAGCTCCCGAAAGAGTCTTTCTGATTTCGGTGGAATAGAAACACGTTCAGTAAATAAACACGAGTGAGAAAAACCTCTCAGTATTTGAAGGAGAACTATAATAATAATAATAATAATAATAATAATAATAATAATAATAATAATAATAATAATAATAATAATAA